GCACGCGTGGATCACAGCGTTGTAGCAGATGGCGTTCGGCGCAACGCCCTCCTGCGAGGCGATCTCTATCGGGGAGATTGCCAGCGAGGTCACATCGCCGGATCCGTCTGGCAACCTCATCCTCCTCCTCAATTTTGCCTTCGGTCCTCGAAGATCGAGGAGGTCGGACGGGTTCGGAGAACGTTTGATCGCGTTGGCCTTCTCTGTTCCACCCTGAGCCTCCGCAAGAGCCTCGAGTCCATGGACCTCAAGGGGGTCGGGATCTGGGGAGGAGGCCAAACTCAACGTGCCCTCCTCATCCAAGTCTTCCTCCAAGTTCTACTCCAACAGGGGACTTGTCGACCCCTATCCCAGGCGTCGTGGGATGCTCGAAATGGACCAGGAACATTTGGGGCCCAGCCCTGAGAGAAACATACGAAGGGGGGGCGTGCGTCCTCGTGAGAGGTGCGTCCAGAGAGCACCCTTGGGTTATGTTGCTCCCATCGTACTTAAAGACCACATCTCAGAAAGCATCTCGAGCACCCGAAAAAGTGTCGAAAGAGTGTCGAAACAGCGTCGGACAAGTGTCTCCCAGGGTCCGACAAGTGAAGACCCTTGATCTTTGGGGTACTTCTCTGGTGCTCGAAATGCTGTCTGGTGATCAAGGCTAAAGTAGGTTGGAACATCCTGACCCTTGGGGTCTATCCCAGAGTTTCCCCCTCTTGCTGAGCGGCCGAACTTTAAACCTTTCGGGCGGAGCCCGCGGAATTACGACCCTCCATATCCTTCCAGCCTCCCACTCATCCCGCTCCTGCCCAACATCCTCCAAACTGCCATCGGACGCCTAGACTACAAAGTGGCCAGCTGGACATGAGAAAACAGTGCTTAGATATGTTTGGTTGATCGGATGGGGAATCCGCAACCGTGCCCGCGGCACAGAGTGGAGTGCTCCCAGGTCCCTTCGAGCTCTCTCTATCGAGTACTCATTGAAGAGGCCCAGACATCCAACACAAAAATTACCTGGGCTACTCCACATGATTTCTGGAGGTTGTCCCGAATTGGGAACTCTTGGAAAAAAACCAAACCGTGTTGAAAGCATGTGGCCCCAGAGGGGGAACCCGAACTGGTCACACGAGTAAGCATTGTGCCCGAAACCGCCATGAGGCCCTTAGAGAAGCCCCCAAGCCTCCCAAACCCGCCTCAACGAGGCTCCTACGAGGCCTCCCATGAGATCCGCAGGAGCATCCAAGGGGCCTCTGAGCTACAACCCAGGCGTGGTGGCGGATTGGGCCGAAGGTTGTTGCCGAGGGGTACTATTGGAGTGTCTCAAGTGCACATGTGAGAAAAGTGTACATTCGAGGGACGGTTATGCCGACAGGGCGTACCCAACCCTTTTGCCGGTTGCCGAAGGTACAAAATCTGTCGCCCCCTGTTAAAGACTACCTACCAGACCACTCCAATCCAACCCGAAGACCAGAATTTCGACAGAATTTTGGGTTGGGGGGGTGCGGGCTTCATATGTGTTTTTGTCCATGTTCCCCGACCCTCCCCCCCCACCCACTAGAAATGGAGGGCACATCGAGGCCTTCGGGTTAGGCTGGGGTGGTTTGGTGGGCGGTGAGTTCATTTATCAAAGGGTTGCCTGGCGTGGCGCGCCGAACATTTGGGCCTCTTGGTTCCTCTTGGGGTTCCCAAAAAACGCCTCGGCCGATCCCGCCGGCTTTTGCGGAGAGCCCAGCCGGCAGGGATGCTTCCGCTCTGGATGGCTGCCAGGTGGCTCACGGTACGGTGAAGGCATTGGATCAGGAACCATTGGATAAAGAATCCAGGGTCTGGAAGCCCGCGGAACTCCAATCGTGGAGTGGCCATGGGTATCACCGCCGCCCTCATTGGATAAGGAATCACCCAGGGTCTGAAGCCTCCCAGGCACATTCCTTAGCGAACGCCCCCACCGTAGCCTCCAAGTTGGCCAAGGTGGCCTCCAAGATGGTCAAGGTGGCCCCGAGAGAGCCCACGATGGCCGCAAGGTGCCTCCAAGACGGCTCAAGATGCATCCATGATAGCGTAAGACGGCCTACAGATAGCCCGTAACGGCCCGAGAGGCCCCCTTGAAGACGGCCCAAGAGGCCTCCCAGGTCCTCCAGGAAGGCCCGAAGAAACCCAATTCAGTCATTTTGTAAATAACTGCCAAGGAGTGCGACACATGTTTTTTGTTCGGCCCTCCGACGGCCCATGACGGCCCCGAAGACCCCCAAGGTCGCCCCAAGATCGCCCACGAGGCCTCCCAGATGGCCCCTATGACGGCCCAGGAGAGGCCCACAAATTATCCCTCAGAAGCACCCGGCAGCGCTCCGAAGAGACCCCAAGAAGCATCCCTGAGGACTCTGACACACGTCAGAATCGTCGCCGTCGTTGTCGATCAGGCCTCTACGATCGGCAATATGGCCGGTGAGGAATTGCAGCCGGAATCGAAATCCGACGCCGAATCGAATCGCAATCGGAAACGATCGAAGTCGAATCGGATCGAATCGGAGGGATCGAAACGAGCCCTGTGGACGGCGGGAGAGGGGCTGTGTCCATCCCACGTGCTCCCCCTCCACTCCTCCCCCAGCAGCGGGTCCTGCTCCATGCGGCCCAGCCAGGACTCCGCCCGGAGCATGTCTCCAGCCTGGCCGCGCAGGCGAACCGCGAGACCCCTCTTCGATCCTCGTCGTGGTCCCCCCTCTTCCTCCTCGTCATCCTCCCACTCCCCCTCCCCCTCCCCCTCCCTCTCCCCCTCCTTCCCCTCCTCCTCCTCCTCCTCCTCCTCCTCCTCCTCCTCCTCCTCCTCCTCTTCACGCTCGGTCGGTCGAAAGGCCTGGGAGGAAGGAAACACGGAAGGCCCATGCAGGCAGAGGAATCCCTCTCTGGGGCAGCCCGAGCGTGCACGACCAGTCGCGGCCTGGCGGCCGTGGCGTGCTTGACCGGTCCTGTCGTCGTCCGTCGAGGACGCCAGGCGGGATACCAGCGATCCTCTGGGGCCATCGGAGCCTGGACACCGCGGCACGCGGGACGGGCGAGTGGGTCGGGATGTTTCCTCTTACAGTCAAAAATATGATTAAGACAACTATCAATTTAGAAAGCTGGGCCAGCTTTTCAGAAGTTTCTGAAGGAAACGCTGGGCCAGCTTTTGGAGCCAGGGCAGTACACTATTCATCTCTAGGGTTCGAGGCTACCAATCCCCTTAAGAAACTGAGCCAGCTTCCCGGCAGGTTGGTTGAGAAACGCTGGGCCAGCTTTTCGGGGGGAGGCTTTCCAATCATAAGCGGAACCGTACAATTAAGTCGGGCCTGTCCCCCTACAGGGGGATTTTCGACGAAAAATAAAAATGCCCCCAAAAAAATCCAAAAATAATACAAAAACAGTCTGGGGACTATTTTTGGAGTATCTTGTTTAACTATTTTGGAATATTTTTGGATATTTCTTATTTTTCGCCGAAAACCCCCTGTAGGGAGACGCCCGACCTGACCGTACCGCCTGACATCCCCCATCTTCGTCGCGTGGGGAAGCACCGGTCCGGAGGGCCGCGCGGTGCTGGACGCCGCTCTCCCTGGCGCGCGAAGAGCGCCGAGGGAGGCGGCGGGAGGCGCCTCGGAGGCGCCGCCGGGAGGGGCCCGGCGCCGACGCAGAATGGCCGCGCGGAGCTCGAGAGGCGTGGATGCCTTACGAGGGTGCAGAGGCCTCGGACGCCCATTCCGAAGCTTTTCGAGCGGGGCGCGGCCAACGAAGCTGGCGAAGTTTCCGAAGCTTTTCGAGCGGGGCGCGGCCAACGAAGCTGGCGAAGGATGTGGGAGGGTTGCCCATCCTTGCTATGCGGGTTGGCTGTGTGCCTTCCTGATCGTTCGGGGAAAGGGAATGGGTCATCCATGCCTGCAGGAGAGCACAATTCGAAACATGGCGACCACACGTCGCCTATGAGCCTCGCGTCGCGTCAGTCAAGCCACGTGGATCACGACAACGAGACCATCCTGCGACGGGCGCGCCCGTCACGCATCCACTCGGCATGAGACAGGCAGGCACGGCGAACATCGCACGGTAGAACAAGCGACTACCTGCAGAATCCTGCAGTATCACTGCGACTATTACCACCACGTCATTCGGTTAGGAACTTTTGCTCAGCGTGTCGCGGCCGCGGCCCCAGCGGTACGCTCTGCCCTTCAAGCAGATAGCGTCTTGCTCCGCTCCGCGGGGATGGATGCTGGAAAAGAATCGGAGCGTTTACGCATGGGGACTGGGAAGTGGTCAGCGTGTCGCGTCGAAGCGTGGTGGGCCAGGACCAGCGGAGCGACACCCTGAGCCAAATTACCTCGCACCTCCCACCCCTTGCGCCCGGTCTCTCTGTCTCAAGGTCGCCCCGCACCATCTGGCCGCGCGCCGCCTTCGCGCATGCGTGAATGCAGGAGCTGAAGGTGATGACGTTCGGCTCGATGCTGGCCTTGCGAGGCGGCAGGGAGGCCCGCCGACGAGCCCGATCCCTCCCCGCGTGCTGCCGAAACCTTTTCGGAGGGGGGGGAGGCTCTGGAGGCCTCCAGAGAACTGCAGAAGACCTCCGGAGAGCTGTTCCCTCCTCCTTGCTCCGCCAAGAAGCATCCACATCCCCACCTGTCGAAGCCCATCCACAGCTCCTGGGGTGGTCCTCGAGATCAAGGGCACAGCTGCGAGGCGGTGGATCTGGATCGATTCTGACGGTGGGCTCTTCCTCCTCCTCCTTCTGCTCCTCCTCCTCCTTCTCCTCCTCCTCCTCTTCCTCGTTCGGCTACATACATGCAAGAATGGCCCTGGGCAGAGTGAACTTGGGTGCGCGGTCTGACAGGGGACGCGGGGTGGCCAAACCCATACGAGCAAGCCGATGCTACCGCTTCCAGCGATCGGGGAAGGTCACTCCGGCGGATGGTCACTCTTACGTCTAGTGGACTCCTCTTCTAGGACCTGTGTGAACCCTTTGGGGGCCTTTGGTTGCCTCGCTATAACTCCCGAACCGCTGCAGGCCTCTCCTCCTCCTCCTCCTCCTCCTCCTCCTCTTCCTCTTCCCACCTAAAACGAAGCCAGGACGAAGATATAATCTGGTGGGGATAACTCAGGAATGTCTGAGATCTGGCGGCTCTGGAGGATATCTCGGGCGCCGCGGCCTTCTCAGAGCGTTCCTGAACGCACGCTCTGGACCGGAGTTGTCCTCGCCCTAGCCCAGTCCGCCCCCCCCCTCCGCGCGCATAAGGAAGCCCTTTTTCTGGTCTCGCGATGACAAATTCCGCCGCACCGGCGCAAGATCCAGAACCAACGCCTGGGTGCCTGTTCCGCAGAGGCCAGAATTCTGTTCAGAGCAGCAGCGCAACACTGATATGCATTGCCAGTAGGAGCACGGTTGACTCGCAAGGGGGTTATCTGCGAGCCTGGGCGGCCGCGCGATCAAAGCACCGAAAGAAAGCCGGACAGAAATGATCGGGGTTGGTCAGGCCAGGCATGCCGGCGACGGTTCAAATGGCGGGCCGCTCGCTTCAAACAACTTCTCAAACGGCCTGGAGCGGCCACGCGCGTCGCTGCGGCCCCCCCTCTCTCTCGCAGCCCCTCGGCAGCAGAGATAAAAAGCAGCGTTCCAGGACCAGGGTGGACGGCCACAAGGCTGGCTCCAGAGTCCGTGACGCAATAGGACGGCGGCAACAGATTGGAGATACGTAGATGGCCCGATCCGGAAACCCTGGAAGCAAATATGTTGCCAACTTTTAGTCTTGGCACAGCTTTGCTTCGCCAACCTTCCGCAAGCAATCCTCCAGCGGAACCGTCCTCACATTGCTTCCGCCGTCTTCCGCCGGTTTTCCACCGCCTTCCGCCGCGGAAGAGACGTCAGCCCCATCGTCACCATCGATTCCCCGAAGGCGAGGCCATGTCTAGAGCGTCACACTATAGCCCGCACAAGGAAGAAGGCAGACGGGCTGGATGCCGAGCGCACACATGGCGCTGGGCCCCACAAGTGCCGCGGAGGCACCGCGTGCCTCCTGAGCGAGCTGACCGCTGAACTAAATATCCACCACCGTGCCGCAATGCACGAGTCAGAGTGCCTTCGGGTCATTTGCTACGGTGGTAAACGATGAAGAAAATACTTTGGACGGCGCAATCGGAACAATAGTTTCGCCGACCCCCTGGCCCCCGTAATGGCGAACCAAAGAGCTAGGCCCACGGAAGGCGTAAAATTCGGGTACGACCCCAGGCCGGCTGGGAGGCAATGGGGGGCCGAAAGTGACAATTCGGCGCGGCGGGGGTGGCGATTCAAATTGATCATGGCCCACCCCGTGGTGACCC